TCGAAGTAGTTCATGCTCATTTTGCAAATATGAGTGATATGAATTTGAATCATATGAGGATTATTGATTTCTTCATAAGTGAAGGCAAACAAATCAAATCATGACATATAATAGGAAATAACATTTGTACACCATCAAGCCGTAAAGTGGCAGATTTCGCGAGGGGCTGCAATTAGAGAACTAAAAATATATTACGAAAAGTAATCGAAATGATAATTGAAAGTCAAAATGAAGCTTGTAATAAGAGAGATACGAATGTCCACAATCTTTTTGTTGAAACATTATGCAGCAAGATTATGAATAATATTCGCCCCTCAATATTTCACAGAATTTGCCTAGAATTATATCCTCACCAGAATATAACGGTAAGCGACACTGACCAGTTTGAAAGCTTCGTTTAGTTTGCTTAAGTAGTCGGCACATGTGGTCAAATTTATGGCCACATTGTATACGAGCACAGCAAGGTAAAGCAAATGATAATAAAACGTTTTGATTGCATACATAAATCATCAAGTGATATTTGGTCAATCAACGATTAAGCTAGAGTATGCCACGTGATCTAGTGATCAGAATAGTACACAGAAATATGCGCATTGTTACTGTTCAAATAACATTGTCTGATAAGGACGCCAATAAAAGAGCATCAACAAAGTTACCCATAATCGAAATGGGTTGTCTGTTGGTCCTATCAGTTCATAATTTATCTGGATTGCACAATTAAACATTATCTCGAAAGCACCATGAGCTGTTTATAATTATTATGTTGGAGGTGGATTGCAACCATGAGCAAACCGATTACTCATTATCTTCACAGAATCATATTTTCTACAGCGACTAAAGTAGTTTCTGTTCTGATTGATCAATATTATATGTTCAAAGCCTTAAAATTTTAAAACGGATTTTAAATTTGCTGAGGATTCTCTTTAGAATGTCCGCAATCTCGCGTGACGAAGTGGGTAATTTTCACACAGAAAAGGTGAGTGAAATGAATCTGAACAACATGAAGAGTTAAAGCGACCATCCTGCAATCAATTTCGATTATAGTCAATTTTGGTTAAGCCCTTTTTATAACTTACTTAACTGACGTTGTCATTTGGATAGTAACAATTTGCATATTCTTTGCACTGCTACACCACTAGAGCACATGACACGCCATCCGCAATGTCGACGGCTTATATATCACTAGATGACTCATACTCCTTTCCCATATGTGTATTCACGCAAATATTATTACCAGCCTTTGTTTTGCTTTGCTGTGCCCTTATTCAATTCGACTATAAATTGCCTATGTAATTGCTTGCTTTTCGTCCTTCGCTCGTTAGATTCCCTCGCATGTTGGCCTGTTCACTGGCTGTCTCGCTTGCTGATCACTCGCTCGTTGATATTCGCTCAGGTGTTGTTAGATATCTCACTCGAGTTATTCGACAAAAAGCAGTAGTTGATGCTAACATTTGTATTATGATTTAACGCACCGTTAGGAATAGATTTAAAAAAGTTATAAAGGCGAAAGATTAAAGAATCACAGCACTACAGGATGACGATGATGATTCCGATGATGATGATTTGGATGATCATGATCATGATGATGATTTGGATGATGATTATGATGATTCGGATGTTAATGATGATAAAGATATGGATGATGATGATGACATGAATGATGATGAACATGATGACGATGATGATTAGGACGCTGATGACTTGGATGATCATGATGATGATGATGATTTGGACGATGTTGGTTATGAAGCTGATGACAATGATGATAGGGATGATGATCATGATTTGAATGATGACGATTCGTATGATGATTGGGATGATGATGATGATGATTGGGATAATGAGAATGATGATTTGGATTATGATTTGGATGATGACGATGTTTTGGATTACAACTCGATGATGATTTAGATTTGTATGTTGAAAATGTTTTGAATGATTACGTTATTCGAATAATGATGATTTTTGATATGAATGATGATGATACTGATGATGATTTCGCTGATAATTATGATGATTTGGATGGTGATGATAATGTTGATGATGAGAACGATGATGATTAAGATTAAGGTGCTTAAGAAGATGATGAAGATAATGAAGTTGATGAATAGGATGATGATGATTTGGATGATAATGTTGATGATGATGTTGTTTCGCATAATGATGTAAATGATGATAGAGATGATGTTTTGAATGATCATGATGAATTGGATGATGATGATGACGATCAAAATTTGATGATGATGGTGATGATGATGATGATGTAAATAATTGAAGATGATGATGAACATGATTCGGATGATGACAATGATGAGGATGATTTCGATGATGATGATTTTGATGATGATGATGATGATGGTGATCACTTCGACAATGATCATGATGAATAAGACGATGATGATGATTCCGATGATGATGACTTAGATGAGCATGATGATGATGATGATGATGATGATTTGGATGGTGATGACGATGAAGATAGTAATTTGTAAGATGATGATAATGATGATGATGATGATGAGGGTGATGAATTGGTCGGAGATGATGATGATGATGAAATGGATAATGAAGATGATGATGTGGATGATGATGATGATGATGATGATTCGGATGCTGATGACCAGGATGATCATGATGATGATGATGATGATTTGGTTGATGATGACAATTTGGCTGATTATGTTGATTCGGATGATTAAGATGAAGAATTAGATTATGATTTGAATGATGATGATTTGTATTATGATTTGGATGATGATGATGATTTTGATTTGAATGGTGATGACGTTTTTGATGACTCTGATTATTCGGATGATGATTATTTTGATTTGAATGATGATGGTAATGATGATGGTTTGGATGGTGATGATAAATGTGATGATGAGGACGATAATTATTTGAATAAGTTGATTAAAATGATTATGAAGATAATGATGATGATGACAATGATGATGATTTGGATGATGATGGTTTGGATGATGATGATGATGTTGGTGATGATGACGATGATTTGTAAGGTGATGATTATGATGATTTGGATGATGATTATTATTATTATTATGATATGTTTGATGATGATTAATAAAATGATGATGTTGATGATAATGATGATTTGGATAATGATGATGATGGTGATCATTTGGAATATGAACATGAAGATGAATTGTATGATGTATGATTGTGATGATGTTTTGGATGGTTTAAATGATGATCGTGATGATTCGGATGAGAAAAATCATTATGCTGATGAAGACTATGATGAAGACGATCATGATGATTGGGATGATTATAAAGAAGATGATGAGGATGCTTGAATAATGAGGATGATGACGATGATTGTTATGATTTTTAATATGATTATGATGATGATGAAGTGGATTGTGATGATAATGATTTGTAAAGTGATGACGGTGATGATGATGATGATTTGCATGATAGTATGGATGATGATGATTAAGACGCTGATGATACGGATGATTAAAATGATGATTTGGATTATGATTTTGATGATGATGATTTTGATTTAGATGTTGATGATGTTTTGGATGATTATGATTATTCGAATGATGAAGATTTTGATTTGAATGATGATGATAATGATGATGATTTGGATGGTGATGATAAAGGTGATGATGAGGACGATGATGATTTAGACTAAGGTGATTAAAATGATGATGATGATTAGGATGATGATGATGATGATAATGATGATGATTAGGATGATGTTGATGATAATGATGTTTTGCATAACGATGATGATGATGATGATTATTTGGTTAAAGGTAATAATTATTATGATGGTGATTTGTATAATGATGATTATTTGTATGATGATGATGAATAAATTGATGATGTTGTTGATGATGATGATTTGTATAATGATAATGATAGTGATGATTTCGCTGATGATGATGATGATGATGATGATGATGATCATGGTGATGATTTCGAATATGATCATGGAGATGAATTGTATGATGTAGGTAATGATGACTGGAAGGTGAAAAAGATGATCGAAATGATTCGGATGACGAAAATGATTATGATGATGATGATGATTCGGATAATGATGATGATGATGATGATGATGATGATGATGATGATGATGGTGATGATTTCAATGATGATGATGGTTATGATTTGTAATATGATAATGATGATGAATTGGATTGTGATGATAATGATTTGTAAGGTGATGGCGGTGACGATGACGATGACTTCAATGATGATGTGGATGAAGATGATGAATTGAATGATGAAAATGATTTGGACGATGATTATGACTTGAATGATGCCAATCGTGATCATTTGGACGATGATGATGACGATATTCATGATGATGATCTGTATGATGATTAAGTTGAAGTTGAAAATTATGTTGATGATGATGATGTTCTGAATGATTATGACGATGATGATGATGATGTTCTGGATGATTATGACGATGATGATGACTAGGATGATTATGATGATGTGTTTGAGGATTCGGATGATGATGGTGATGATAATGAGGATGATTTGAATGATAATGTTGATTTGACTGATCATGATAAATTGTATGATGATGACGATCATGATTTTGACGACGATGGTGATGATGATGATGTGAATGATGGAATATGATGAATAACATGATTCTAAAATGACAATGATGATGATTTGCTTGATGATGATGATGTTTTGAATGATTATGTTTATTCGGATGATGATGATGACTTGGATTTGGATGATGATGATAATGGTATGTTCAATGATGAAAATGATGATTTGAATAATGATGATTATGATTTAGTCGATGCTGATTATGATGCTGAATTATTATTATGATGATGAATTGGATGATGATGACGATCATGATTTTGACGACGATGGTGATAATGAAGTGAATGATTGAAGATGATAATAAACATGATTCATAAGATGTCAATGATGTTGATGATTATTTTGATGATGCAGATGTTGATGATGATGTTCATCATGATGAAAATTAGGATGACAACATGGATGGTAACGATTCGTATATTGATTTTGATGATGATGACGATTCGCCTGATGAAGATAATGATGAATTGGATGATGATGATGATTATGTTGACGGTATGTATGATGATGATCATGATTTGGATGATGATGATTATGATTTGGTCGATGCTGATTATGATGTTGATGAGAATGATGATGATTTGAATGATGATTTGTTTGAAGATGATGTTGGTTTGGATGATGGTAATGATGAGGATGACTCAATTGATGAGTTGGATTATGATTTGGATGATGATGATGATGAAGATTTGGATTTGGATGGTGATGATGTTATGGATGATAATTAAGATTATTCGTATGATTATAATTTTGATTTGAATGATGATGATAATCTTGATGATTCAGATGATACTGATGATTATTTCGATGGTGATGATAATGATGATGATTAGGACGATGATGATTTCGACGATCCTTATTATGATGATGATGAAGATAATGATGTTGATGATTCGGAAAATGATGATGGTAATGATGATGATCAGGATGATGATGATGATGATAATTAGAATGGTCAAGATGAATTGTATGATGATGATGACGAAGATTCGGATGATGAAAATGATTATGATGATGATGATGATGATGATTAGTATGAAGATGATGATGATGATGATGATGATTATTATCAGGATGATGATGATGAGGAAGATGGTGATGATGATGATTTGGATAATGATGATGATAATGATAATGATGATGATAATTTGGATGATGATGATGATGGTCATGATTTGTAATATGATAATCATGATGAACCGGATTGTGATGATAATGATTTGTAAGGTGATGACGGTGACGATGACGATGATTATATAGATGATATGGACGAAGATGATGATTTGGATGTTGAAGATGATTTGGACGATGATAATGACTTAGATGATGCCATACTTGATCATTTGGACGATGATGATGATGATGATATTAATGATGATGATCTGGATGGTGATTAAGTTGAATTTGAAAATTATGTTGATGATGATGATGTTCTGGATGATTATGATGATGATGATGATGATGATGATGTTGATGACTTGGATGATGGTGATGATGATGTTGATGATTAGGATGATTATGATGACGATGATTATGATGATGAGTTTGAGGATTCGGTGATGATGGTGATGATAATGATGATAAATTGGATGATGATGACGTTCATGATTTTGACGACGATGGTGATGATGATGATGATGTGAATGATTGAAGATGATGATTAGTATGATTCAAAAGATGACAATGATGATGATAATGATTTGGATGATGCAGATGTTGATGATTATATTCATCATGATGAAAATTAGGATGATAACGTGGATGGTAACGATTCGGATAATGTTGTTGATGATGATGACGATTCGTATGATGATGATGATTATTTGGTGGATGATGATGAAAATCATGATTTGGATGATGATGATGATAACGATGGTATGTATGATGATGAAAATGATGATTTGGATGATGATGATTATGATTTGATCGATGCTGATTATGATGCTGATGACAATGATGATGATTTTTATGATGATGATGATGATGATGATGTTGATGATGATGATGATGATTTGTATGACGATGATGATGACGATCATGATTTGTATGATAATGATTATGATTTGGTCGATGCTGATTATGATGTTGATGAGAATGATGATGATTTGAATGATGATTTGTTTGAAGATGATGTTGGTTTGGATGATGGTCATGATGAGGATGACTCAATTGATGAGTTGGATTATGATTTGGATGATGATGATGATGAAGATTTGGATTTGGATGGTGATGATGTTATGGATGATAATTAAGATTATTCGTATGATTATAATTTTGATTTGAATGATGATGATAATCTTGATGATTCAGATGATACTGATGATTATTTCGATGGTGATGATAATGATGATGATTAGGACGATGATGATTTCGACGATCCTTATTATGATGATGATGAAGATAATGATGTTGATGATTCGGAAAATGATGATGATAATGATGATGATTAGGATGATGATGTTGATGATGATAATTAGAATGATCAAAATGAATTGTATGATGATGATGACGAAGATTCGGATGATGAAAATGATTATGATGATGATGATGATGATGATGATGATTAGTATGAAGATGATGATGATGATGATGATTATTATCAGGATGATGATGATGAGGAAGATGGTGATGATGATGATTTGGACAATGATGATGATAATTTGGATGATGATGATGATGGTCATGATTTGTAATATGATAATCATGATGAACTTGATTGTGATGATAATGATTTGTAAGGTGATGACGGTGACGATGACGATGATTATAATGATGATATGGACGAAGATGATGATTTGGATGTTGAAGATGATTTGGACGATGATAATGACTTAGATGATGCCATACGTGATCATTTGGACGATGATGATGATGATGATATTAATGATGATGATCTGG